CACAGAATTAACCACCAAACGCATTTTTTGTCGCCGACAAAAAAACGATTCGATCGGGTTTCGCGTAACAAGAGAGCGTTCGGCTGGCGGCGGCGGCGGCGTACTCACATCGAGGATAGGTTTGCTGCAGTAAGCGCACTTGGGAGAGAACAGGTTGTGGTAATCCTCCTCGCAGTACGGCTTGTTGTCACGCTCAAAGAAGTTCTTGTTTCCCAGCTCCTGCTTACAGTGATCACAGGTGAAGTGCTCCGGATGCCAGGTGCGAGCCAACGCTGTCACCATCTGGTGGCGAGAATAGTAGTTAAAACTGCATGTTCTCGCAGCAAAATGTACAGCTATACCTTCTGTGAGCTGGTCTACATTGTAAAAATTCACTACAACTCATTTGTGTTGCTACTTTCATAACATTTCTTCAGCAAACTTAAACAGTCTTACGAAACTAGTACTTTCAATGTTTACACAGTGTTTGCACATCCGGGACATAGCCGAGCGATCGCAGTTTTTATTAACAGTTCTTTTCTATGACAAGTTATAATTCATCATTCTATGTTTGTTCAGTACAAAATTGTGAAATTTGAACTTTGCCAATTGAATGGAAGTGTGTCTATTCGACTTAGTAATGCATTACTTTGTTATTATTTCAATTTAAGGTACGATCAAAGAGCCTCTATTGATCAATACATGTTCTTTGGTATGATTGAAAAATATTACTAGATGCCCTACCCTTAAGATTGGGTTACAAGGAATTTCCAAAGACCACTATTAAAACCTTGTCATCTTTAATTATTGTAATAGAAAGCTCATCATTAATTAATATCATTAATAACTCTGAACATAACAAGTGATTTCCGCCACAGAAACCTCGCCCACGTTGTTTCTGGCCGTCGACACCAGGTGGCGCTAGGCGTACCTGTCCGACGATCGGTTTTCCGCAGGCAGCGCAGTTTCCCTTCGCTGGCGTACGCACTCCCTGCTTACTAAGGTCGCTCGACAGCGACCCCAGCATCTGGTCAAGGTCGCTCGACTCCGACGCCCTCTGGTGGCCGGTGACGACGGGCTGCGGTTCGGCGTGCTGCGCCGCGCGCTTCTGAGGTTTCGCGTACGGAGGCTCGTCGCCGTGGCGACGGTCATGCTCCTCGTGGTGCTCCTCGTGATGCTGCGCCGTCGTCGTCTGTATCTGAGCGACGGAGAGACAGAGAGATGACGTGACGTGACGCGTGCAGCAGGGAAAAAATTAAAATGTATTTATCGGGGGCTACTTTTCAAGCTCGCGTGCATGAAATTAGCACTATAAAATTTGGTTTACATTGAACTCTATGCAAATTTACGGGGGCTCTTTTTGGCATTTCGGGGGCTAAATCGCCCTGAGCCCTCGTGCATTTTTTTCACTGGTGTGCAGGACAAGGTTACTACTGATCCCACTAGGATATATATATATATATATATATCCTAATTTATGTATCCATAACCTACACACACGCACACACACATATAAATATAATGGTACTGCACCACGCTGTCTCTCATTCTCTCTCTCTCTCTCTCCCTTACAGCTACATGTACTGGGGCAGCCTAAACTCT